AAATGCTAGTTTTACTAAATCACATCTTAATAGTTATGTAAGTGTTAATATGAACAAGTAAGAAAGTAAAGTAAGAAAAAAACTAAAGAAGATCAGTGAAAAATAAAATTACTATTATCATTTACTAATGAGAAGCTCTCTGTAGCCACTGGTAGTCTGAAGAATGAGGGGATAGATTAACACTACTCTTGCACAAAGAACGCAGCTACTGCTGCTGAAAAATGTTCTGCTATATTGGTACAAATGGCTGCATGCAGCACCCGTGTATCAATGCACAACACACACAGAAGAATCACAAGTATTCTTAAAGATGTCAGAATTCAGGAAGATATTTTTTAGTTTTGTCTATGTAATATCCAGAGGCAGATGAGTGTCACAGTCTGTATTCCAGACTCCAACATAAAGAAGTTCAATAAAAATTATTTGGTTTTAACAAAGGGTGACAGAGAAATTCCTGTCTCAAGGAAGTGCCTTATGGGGATTCAAAGTAGTTTCCCCAGGCCTAGATGTCTCAAAAGAAGAACCTATTGAAAGCCTGAGAAACTCAATCACTATAAATCCAGGTGTTTAAAATTCTGTTAAATTCTGTTAAAATTTAAATGTTAAAAACAGGACCAGGTGCTGTTTTTAACAGAATTCTGCAGTAAACATGAAAAAACTAGAGATAAAGCAAGGATTCTGTCAATTATGACTAAAAATCTCTGCTGCTCTGGATAATTCTTCACAGCTAAAGAGAAAAACTTGCAGTTTTAAAGGAAACTGAGATACATTCATAGCAAAAGGTAGTGCTTTTCCCAGACTACTTACTTTATGTCTGAATAAGCATAAAATAATGGGACACAATGTAACAGCTCTGCAAGTACCTGTATATTCTAAGTGACTAGAATTATTTAACTAAAAATTAAGTATATTCCAAGAACCATGAGGAAGTCCTGAAGTTCAATCCTAATTTGGGAACAGAGTAACCATTCCTCAGAAGAGGAAGAATATTTTAATTTTTCTGAACAGGATAAGTTATTTGAATCTTCTTCAACCTAGAAGAGGCTCCTACCTATGCTGCTAATTTATGAGGGGGGACTGCAAACTCCCCCATGAAAAAAACCCAACCCAAACCAAAAAACCTCTGAAACCCAAAGACTCAAAAGGCTGCTTCAAACACAGAAAGAAAGCAGTTTGAGGGTAGACTGCAGGAGGGAAGAAGTGAATCTCCTTGCAGATTGCTGAACAGCCATGAAGTTCTTTAAAGTTGCTCCCTGCTTTCCATCTTCATCAGATTTAGAGAATGTAGGAGCATAAAGCAGTTTAAAGCCACCTTTACTGGTGCTCTCTTCAGCAATAAAACCCAGAATTTTGGCATAACAGAGCACTATGATGTGATTCACAAATACTTCGTTATCTCAGTGTACATCTACTGGAAACATAAGGTATTCCTTTAGTGTGCTTTAATGGGTACTTATATTTATTGTATGCTGGCTTTACCATTATTTCAGGAAACATTTTAGGAAAAGAATATGGAACATGCAAGGAACTGCACAGTTAGTCCAATAAAAGCAAATTCCACTACCCTTTGAAATCCTACCTGCAGCTTGCTTTCATCTGCTAACAGCCATAGTTATCACTGCCAACAACCTTTGAACAAAATCTTTTTGTGACATTTTTGCACATATCCTTGATTTAACAAGAAAGATGGGGAACATCTGTGGCCAACTTCCACTGGGTATTTTTTCAGAAGCAGGAGATGCGAACTTGAATCTCCCCTCAGGCTTCTGAAACCTAGGTTTTCTGTTTCATGGAAGAGTCTCCTTGCCTTGAGATTGTTTCAGCTAGTTTTTCAAAACTCTTCTGAGGGATTTTAGCAAGTTTTGATAATTTAAAAACAGCTCTTTGTTCTGTCCCCTTCTTTCCCATTCCCCCTTTTCAATTACAGCATCGTAGCCTTACCCTCTTGTTTCTGCCAGCTGTTCTAAGATATCTGATCACTGATATTTTAATGTGTTCTAAGAGTGAGAAAGTCCTCCACACACTGGCTTTCTTGGCAATCATGCTTCATAGTCTTCTGTGTGGTAGTAGAAAACTAATTGTAACATTAGTTTCTCTAGCACTGTTGCAGCTATGGATTTTCAGCCACAAATCCAATTCCTTAAATGAAGATAAGGTGTTATAACCTTGGCCATACCTGATGCAGAAAGAGATAATTGTTTCTCAACAGATGAGAAAACACAAACAAGTATGTAGCTAGTTGCATTGGCAGCAACTTAAAACACATACAAAAAACACCTTAAAGCAAAACAAATGTGATTAAGACACCCAAGACTCTTGGTAAAACTGTACCTTGCTAAATAGCAGAAGCTCTTATAGATGTGTCTGGAAGAGTGTCTCAGTCATTAAATAAGGCTGCAATTGTTTAGTTCACTGCCAGTTTACAAACTTTTTGTTTTAAAATCCTGCATTCTTGACAGAACTTTATCTAAATACTTTGCCTTAGGCTGTAAATGTGATATTAAAGCATGCTAGTCTTAAGTTTTATCACAAGGACAAAGCACTGTTCTATGTTTTTACTACAGCAATTTAGAAATATACTTCCATAAAGGCATTAGAAACTGTGTGCAAGCACTCTATTTAACCAAGCTTTAACATTTCTTATACACAAGAGATAAAATTTAATTTAAAGGTAGTTTTTATGAGCACACACACATTTTTCTTCTCTCTCCACTTTTTCTATTTGTGATATGGGACTGAAAAAAATTTCTTGCCGAGTGCAGTGAACAGCTGAATTCAAGCACAATTCTATTTGAGAACCTCCACAGCAATACAACCAACAGGGGGCTGTCTGGCTACACAATGTTATCAAATCTGCAGTGAAATCCTTTTCCTGACTGTACAACCTACCATTCGTGCACACTTCCTAACACTGGTTGAAGAACAAGTCATTTAACAGATTTCATACCTCCAAAACATTAGAGTTCTTGTCCATCTTTGTCTTAAACTACTGGAAATGTAATATTTTTGATCTGGAAGGTCCATTATAGACAGATAATACAGCTTTGATGTATTTATTGATGTGTCTGAAAATAATAGATATTGCTCGTTGGAAAAGGGGGAGACTTTCACATTGTCTTGATAAAAGGAAAGGCATACCACAGCTGCTTCCACATGCTAAGAAGCTGTATGTATATGAACATTTCTGTGCTGGTTTCATATGTTGATACTAATCTTCTGTGAATAAAAAATAAAAATAAATATATAGACCAAAATGTTTTTAGACCCTTTGATACTGATTCAAAGAGCAGATGGGCAGTCTGTCTGTAGTAGTGTCAAGAAAGGACGAATAATGCCCTGAATATTCCTTACAGTGACTTAAGCAATGTAAATGGGCTTTAAAACTTGGGTGCCAGTCCCAGGAGTGAAGGGTATTTTCTTGGTGCTGGCACTGTTGCATACAGCAAGCACATTCAGCTGGCTGAGCTTACCAAAAACCTAAACTAAAGTCATTCAGTGAAACCACCAAAGATACGAGGGCCAGGTTAATAGTGAAAGAAACAAGAAGACTCATTCCCAAACTTGTCTGGCTCAAGAAACAAAAAGCTGTAGAACCATAGTCTTATATTATTGTTGACTAGTCTAACCGGTAAAATAATATAACGCCTGAAGCTCTTCCTTTGCCTTTATTTCAATAAAACATTAAAATTGTAAACATTTGAGACTTTCTATGCTATAATTTATGCCTTATATACTTCAAATTTTATAATACTTAAGGTTTTTTTTTAGTATTTGTTGAGAGATTCTAAAATGTTTTACTTTTAAAACCACTTAAAAGTGTAAAAGCTGCTGACAGAGTTCTTTTATAAGGCAATAAAGCCACATACTTGCCCTGCAGAAATATAGGGAAATGTGAAGCTTTCTGTCCGACTCCTATGGCTATAAACAGCAGAACAAAACCTTTCAGACATATTATTCCTATTTCTCAAGAGAAATTAAACCTTCACCTACTATGCACTGTATACTTTAGATTGAAGACACAAGGTAGATAAATGCTCCTATAATTATGTTAATTTCAGAACTTTTGAACATAAGATTCAAATTTTATATTGAGGCAGAAGCAATATAACAAATTTAATTTTATTTTTTAACAAACACAGAGCTATAAGTGAATAAAATGTGGAAAAAAAATAAGAGTTGCACCTGATGACCATTAAATAACTTCCAACAGAATAAACTATTTAGAGTGAAAAAGTACTCCGATGATTATTATCCCACTCACAGAAAGATGAACAATGTTACTCATGCCATTGCATTTTTCATCATTTTTCCCTTATTTATTTATAGCTGAATATTTTATTGTGATACACACAACTGCCACCTTAGAAAGGAGATTCACATATATCTGAGACATAAGTTTTCTTTCAAGTACATTTTAAATGTCTTTGTTTTCCACATGAAGAATTGCTGCTGCTGTTAAAGTGGTACATTAGCAGCTCACCACTCTGGGTGTATTTCTATAATTTCTTGTGACTTCTGTGACAATAGATTGTGATAAAGATAAAGGAAAAGTCTAAACACTTCAAATTTCAACTGCTACTGCGGCTACCTAATTAGAAGAGACTTTCCCCAATACTTAACAAGATACCATGACTAAGGGAAAAGCTGAAACATTTTCAGATCACTGCATCCAAATTTCTAGTACAGACCACTCTTACTTAGCAAAGTGTGCCTGCTGTAGGGAGTATCAAGAAAACTGCCTTTGAAATCTGAAGAAAACGGCTGTTAGAAGTCCTAAATACTTTGGTATAAGTCCCTTTACATTTTTAGAGATGCAGTGCTTACGACTGTACATTAAGAAATTTTTACAATTTAACTAGTTCATTGTTTCTGGAAAATAGATCTTCACAGGTAAATTTATTGTCAAATATGCTGAAGTTCAAATAAGTACATTACCTTTAGTATATGGAAGATTTTGCAGAATGTTGATGATGTTGCTTACAAAGATGACAAGCAAAAAATGACACACACAAGTATTTAATAATGAGTTATATTTGCAAAATGAATCAGTGACAAGACAGGACACAAATCAGAATATTTTGCCGTTCACAGGACTGCAGAAATAGACCATGAATAAATAGCACAGAAACTCTGCTTCCCAGCCTGAGCTGACAACAGTTGATAAGTTGATTGCAGATCTGGTCTTTAAAAGATGCACGGTACTCACCTCTTCCTCCGAAATCAGAATTACTAAATGCCATAGAAAATTCCATGAGGACATGCATTACTGTAGTACAGCTACTAAACAAAGTAGCCAACAGCCCTTCAAGGTATGTGTCCATTACTCCCATTTTAAATGTGACAAGGAGGTGTAGAAACTATCATAGTATGCAACAATCTGAAGTTCGTTTTAAGAAGACAGGAGACTGTCAGCAGACATAACTTTACAGAGTATTTTAATTCAAATGACAACTCCTAAGAAGCCCAGCTACCAATGTGAACCACCAGTGTTTCTCTCACACATGAGTCTTAAATCAGACACCTCTAAATAAAGCACAATATATGCATTACAGAAACAATGGCCGGGTTACTTGTCCAGCATCATGTGAGAATAAAGGCAGAAAAATAAACATCACATCAAATTCTTAGGAATTCTCACTTGATATAACCATGAAGACATGGTTTCTTCTATTTGCAGCCATTTGTTGCATTGCCTACAGAGTTTTTTTACCAGTTTCTGAAGCACCTGTAACAACATCAGGCTTCTTGATTGCACAGCCCACAAACATCTTCCCTGGCCCAGCACCACAACAGGCTGACCCTATCAATACATTAAACATTGTGTGTGATCATGAAGATTGCTTCATAGTATACCGACACAAGGGGGCAAATGAAGATTGCAGAATCTTAAAGCAGGAGTTATCTAACTTCTTAATGTTTCATTTTGTGATCTTCTTGTTCTTTTTACAGTTATTAGCTTGTGCTTTGGCTTTTTCTCCCCCCCTCACAAAAAACGTTTTCTCCTTTGAATTCTAATTCCCCTTATTAGATGAAGCATTTTATTTACTTCCACAAAGACGATGAGAGAACTGAAGAATCTTTCACACGAAGAAAGGCTGAGTGAGCTGAGACTCCAGCCTGGAGAAGAAAAGGCTTGTGTTTGTGTGATCTCAGCAATGTTCCTAAATGCCTGCTGGTGGGGGTATGGGAGAGTAAAGAAGACATAGTCAGGCTCTTCTCAGTTGTGTCCAGAGACAGGACAAGAGGCAACCGGTAAGAAATGAACTGCATGAAATTCTAGCTGAACAGGGCAGGATGCAGAGTCTCCATCCTTGAATATATTCAAAATTGACTGGACAAGCCTTAAAGAAATGACTCTGTTTGAACTAGAGCTTTCCCTTACAACCTCAGCTACTTACTTTGGGATTTATTTTCAGGACCAAAATCCATGAAGTAGCTCAGGGTCGTAATAGGCCTGCCATCTTTGTGAAAAACGATGAGGGGGATGAAATTGACAGTGATTTCCTATATGACAGCAAAAGCTACTAAACAGTCTGCATTCCCTTCTGGATCTGAAGTGCAAAGCACTCCAGTGAATGTTAGGAATCATCTGAGGATTGAGGGATCATCTGAGGGATGAGCCTCTTTCCCTAAGCCTGACTGATTCTCTTTGCTTCATGCCAGATCCCCTCTGTCAGGATGCTGCTTCTTCCAATTTCAATAAATAATCAAACCCCCAAATCTTTGCCCGATGGATTTCAATCTTTCTGATTTTCCAGTTCATCAGATCTGTCCTTCCTGTATCTGTTCTCAGCTCCAACCTTTTAACATCACGTTTTTAGACATGCTCCTAGCACTAGTTGTTTTCACTCACATACAGCTATTAGTTTATTTTCAAGCAGATCTATCTTTTCTCGTCTTTTTTATGTGAATTAAGTATCTTTTTCCCATACAGTTCCTACCTAGCAGAAAATAAGCACCTGAACTAAAAACACTGAGCTTTCCTTTCTTACATCAGGCATGGTCCTTAGGACCTCAGAGCTGCAACACAAAATGAGTTTGATCCAGCTACAGTCTCTGGCACCACCCATACAGGCAAACCTCTGAACTGCTAATATTAAGCTACCTGTGAACCATGTGAGAAATGTAACATCCTTTTCAAAGGTTTAGGAACAGAATTATTTGAGTAGGCCTACATAAGCACTTGAAGTAGTTTTCTTAATCCAGACAGGAACTTTGGTTCCTCAGTTGAACTCTGGTTCTGCAAATGCTCAAACTGTGTTTTCACCATGTCACTGAACTATTCTAAGCTGCTAGGGCCACCGAACAAGGCGCTCCAACCTTTGCCCTTCTGCTTCTTCCTGCTCCCTGCTATTTCCTGCCCTTGTGCCAGTGATAGGAGTTTGCATGGTGAACCAGAAGGAAGTACAGTCTGTTTCACTCTTTGCACAAAGGCCAACATGAGCACAATGAAGTTGTCAGGAACAAGCAGCTCGGCCACTGGACTTTGACAAAGCCACACAAATAGACTTACTTGTTGTATGCTCTCAAGTCTCTGATCACCTCCTTAAATTCACATCTACTCATAAAAGTCCCTGGGAAAAATCCTGGGTACATTAAAATACTAGATATACAAGAGCAACTGGATGGGTGGCCTGCTGCAAGTACCAGGCTGCAGCATGCTGAAAAAAATCAGCCACATTTAAGGTCTTTCCAAGAATTTCTAAGTCTTCAAATGGCTGAAGTTTATGTGCAGGTCTTTAATATTTAGCAGTTACACTGCTACTTGCAGAAACTCAATAAGAAAGCTATCCAACTTTGAGCCAGATAGGATATTTTTTATAAGCAGTCAACCTTTGGTCATGTATCTTAAGAGAAATGTAGTAGGTAAATGTGCACACAAGTGTTCTTTATGAAAAGCTGTAGGCTAATTCTGCATAGCTGTGCTATTGAGAACTGTTCAGGTTTGAACTAAATTGGAAATTTTAGCCATTAGTAATTTTGCTAGTTCAAATCCATAGCAGTTGTAAACGAGATGTGATTTTTACCAGTGTTAAATTCTGAACTATGGTCAAATAATGCAAACTTATAAATTACAACAACTTGGATTCATATTCATCTACATCATGTTTGTATGCGTGCAACTGCACCAGTAGCAGGCTCATGAAGGCTAAAATCAAAGCAATTCTTGAGTGAAGATAAGCTGCTTCTACTCCTTTTAAAACATTTATATGGTATATTAACTTGACTCTGTGAACACCTATTTGAACAAGGTATATGTATTTTAAATGGTAAAATACAACAGGGCTAATAAAATTAGATTAGCAAGTGATACTGAGTCATGATAGTGAAGAAAATAAATTCTTAAAAGGAAACACACTTTCAGATCTGTATCTAAAATTAGAGACATTTACATAACCATTAGTCTACATTTGACTCACCACACAGTTCTTGCATGCAGCTTTTAAAAGGAAAGGAGCCCAAGTAATTTCCATTCTCACTGCAGCAATTTCAATCATCTCAATGAAAGACTCTCCTGCAAGAGAAAAATCTTAGTGGAAGATGAGAAAAAATTAGTAAATTCACAGTGAGATACACAGTTTAAACTTCAAGCCATAAAACAGTTACCTGTCTATAGCCCAGTGGTTTAAGAAATGAAGTGGTTAATAAGTTCTGTAAAAAAAATTGGAAGGCACTTTTTCTTTATGAGTTCTCTTTCCTAAAAGCATGACCAAGCATGTCAAACTTCACAGTTCCACTAATTTAGAAAAGGTTGTAAAAATGAACAGTTTCAAGAGGTTTAATAAAGAAATGTGCTGACAATTAAAGTAACAATTTTTATAGCTTTTAAAGATATAAACAAACACACTTACCAAAGTATTGTTAGACAGGTGTAGCTTGAGATGGCTCCTTAAATGTTCAGTTTTCACATAAACCAGAGCAAAATTATATATATGTCTACTCTATATTTACCATTAGATACTATGAAGCTCTAAATATAGTTTCTGAATAAATGAAAATACAAAAAAAGCTAAGAAAGTGTTCATATACAAACAATATACAAATTTATACCAATAAAAAGGCATAGGAAATACATGCAATTCCTGTTCCATGACCCACGTGCAGAAGTGGCTAGCCTTACTTCAGCAGCACAGTTAATACTGGAGATATTTACAGTCTTAACACCAATATTTACGTGCTGCTAAAGTATGACAGACATCAGCATCACAAGATTGACTAATTCATAAGTGGTATGTCTCTTCAGGGTGATGAAATCCTTGTATTTTTGAGGCAGCACAATATGGCCTGCACCTTTTCAAAACCCACAAACCATTATGTGCTGCTACGTTATGCCAAGGTGTCTACCATGCTTCAAGGAAACAAACATTCTCTGAGAGCTGAATGCAGAATTTTCTTATTCAACTTTCATGTAGTAACATCAGTTGTATTAATGAACTACAAAATGTTTAGAAAACGTCTGTCCATTGCCAAGCTGACTTTATTTTAGTGGAGCTCTAGACTATATTGTCATCTCTAATAATACCTTAATGGGACATGAACCACAAAGTGGACAATTGTGTGTCTGACTAGAGAAACGAATGATTATGCAGATGTTTACTTCAAAAGAAAACAAAAAAAATCTGGGTTATTTTCTAATCTAACTTTTTGTCATCTGGAAACTCGGATGTGAAAAGAAAACTCCAACAACTTTCATATATAAGAGAATAAGAGCTAATTTCAAAATAAGCTTCTGTCAGCTACTCTATCAGTCCTCAAGCCATTTCTTAGCTCTGCAGCTTACCCTTACTGCAATTTTGGGGCACACAAATTAGTCTTAGCTAATTTCAGAGGAAAAAAAAATTAAGAAACCCCACAACAATTGTTAGCAAGAATAGTAACTTATCTGTCATTATGAGCAGGAGCTCATCTGCCCCCAGCCTAGAATGACCAAGCTTTACTTGAAGTAAGCCAGAGATGTGGAGTTTACATCCATGCTAGGTATCACTTTCTTAGACTAAAGAATGCCAGAGATTGAAGGATGTGCAATCCTTTTACTGGTTCCCTAGATAACATGAATTGTGCTTTCTTTAATGTTTTTATACTAAACTGTTAGGACAAAAGCTACTTACACAGCATGGACCCAAACACGCCACTCCCTTGCAATAAGCCTTCTAGTCAGGTCATGAAAGACAACTGGAAACTAACAGGGCTATCTGTAAGCACAAAAAGAGATTTGGCAGGCCACGGGGGGGAAAAATTGGGGAGTTTTTCTTTCCTCCCTTCTTATTTTTGTTCCTACAGTAATACAGCAGGGCAGTATCTGCTAGAAGAGTCCATTGCCACTAATGTGCCAATTAAAGCGAGATTGCTGGTGTAAATTAACAGATAACAGCAGCAACACTTCATATAGTTTATCCAGGTAGAAATGCTAACTTTGGGGACTGCATCAAAGAGGCATTTCTGGTATGTTTTATACATGCACAGCTATATTCACACTTATCCCCACCCCACCTCTTACTACCTATGTTTGTTCTTAAAAACAGGCAGCTAAAATAGGCAAACTAAATTAAATAGGCATGACTTACCCAACTTACCATTGGTGAATTAAAGCAGGAGTGCAAAGTCAAAATAAACCTATACTGTAAATGTATGCCATGACAGTTGGTCTCCCCCCTGAAGAAACTGTGCTAGGCATAAGCCAAGAGAATAAAAAGTAAAGACAAAATCTCCACCATATATACATATATATATGTAATGTGGAAGGCATAGATAAAGATAGATGTGAGCAAAAATGCTAGCCAGCAGTAAGAGATTTACTTCAACTTTAAGAGTAAGAAAAAAACCATGAAAAATGTTCCCTAGCAAGAAAAAATACTGCTTTGTACTTGTAGATTTACCTTAAAAGTTTGAAAGAAAATTATTTAAATAAGACACCTGCAACATTTAATACCTTTGGAAGTGCATTTCTCATTTTTCCATTTAGGCCAAATTCTTCATTTGAAGCTCCATGTGTTCAGCTGATACTATCCTTTCAATTGCCTGGTTGATTTCAGGTTCTAGCTTAAGTATGGAGGGTTTTTTTCCTGTTGCATAACTAAACCACTCTAAAAATACATACACACTATGAAATGAAGACTTGGCAGAACTATTATGCTAGTTTCTGCAGTAAGTACATTAGTAAGAAAACTTACAGGTAATTCCACCCACCCATACAAAACATGAACACAATTACATGAATTCCTGCATGAATGGCAAAATTCTGGGCTGTTTTGAGTTGTGTTTTTATGTTGGTTTTTTTTTGTTTTTAAAAAATATTTTGGAAGGTGTCTTATTGCTTTTTTTTTTTTAACTTTACTACAAAATGCTCCTAAAGAAACCAACCAACCCAAAAATTCAACACTATGTGACTACATGTTTTCTACATGCTATTAAAATAGATATCATCTGTAAGGAGAATAAGCAAATTATCACACAAATTGAACACAGTGTATGTGAGAGAAGGGGTTGTGGAACAGGAAAAGGATGAAAGAAGGAAGTCTAAGTTAAGAAGTGTACTGATAGCTGAGCCAGGAATGTACTGAAATCCAGGAGTGTCTGCACAAAGTTGTGTACCATAATGTTTTGGTCATAAAGTCAATACAGTTGTTACCAAGAGTGCTTCTCCTACCTCCATCCTATGTCTTACAATTGTGGATGAGAGACATAACAGACAAAGGAGACCTCAATAAAAGCTGGGAATCATGCATTCAAGCAGCTCCATTATATTTCTCAAGTCCCTAAGAGCAAGTTTTGCTGAGGAAAAAGGATTCTGAAGATGCAAAACAGAAATTCCACAGAAGCAGCTCACATACACAAGTCAGGACTGCTCTTTAAAAAAAAGTATTGGAACTGTTAAAAAAAATAAAGAGAAAGAAAAAAAGAGAACGTGTGTGTGCATATGTATTTGTGCTTGTTTTAGCAACTGGAGTGCTCCCAAGCAGTGAAGGAACCTTTCCTTCATTTCAGTATTTCCTAGTTGATTATCAAAGACCTAGCCCAATTTAAATATTATTTTCAGTTTTTATTGTTTATAGTTAAGAGTTTATGACAACACCAAGCCAAACTCAGTCTTTTCTGACCCTATGAAAACCAGCTACAAGTCAATTTCTGGCTACTATACATACTAATAAGCTCCTTAAATGCTACTATAACTACTAATAAACTCCTAAAACCTTTGTGTAACATACTATACCCAGGAGGTACCACTAGGTCTGCAATCTGACTGACAGGTCAGTGACAGAGTAAAACACACCACAGCCTTTGTATTAAACACTGTATATTGACTCTAATACCAGGAACATGATGTAAAATTAAACATTTACCTTGTGCCTTTTGGTCACACACACACAAAAAAAAAAGCACTCTCTTGATACCTCTTGGCCAAAACCTCTTCCTCCATCAATAGTGTTCTACACCATTGCTCACAACCATATTCCATTGCTTTTGTTCCTTACTCATTAATTCAAAACACAGATCCAATATGAAAGCAAGGCTATTGCTTCATTGTTTATTGTGACCCTTTCCCAACCTTATTTCAGATTAAAATTAGAAAACTGAATGTGAATCTGACTTAAGTGTTCCACAGTCTAAAAGCATTACATCTGTCCACCAGTGCAACTCTCCTCCACAGCCCTGACTTCAGCAATTACATGTCCATATCTCAAGTTTTCCCAGGTTATCTTCGTTTAACCAGAAATGAGACAGGGTTTGCACTGAGATGGCACAGCATGAAGTGCAGCATCTTTGAAAAGTGTGTCCTGCTCTGTGCATTCCATTAATGGAAGTAAGTTACTTCTATGTTAGACAGGAAATTTTGCAGCCTAGCTTTTGGGACAACTGTTGGTGAATTTGCCAAGCTCTCCTCTCACAGTTCAGTGCCACTAACACACCACTAAATATGAATAAACACAATGGCAGTTCAACACTGGAAAATACTTTTAGGGTTTTATTGAATTAATCTGAGAAAAAGACAGAATTAAAGATAATCTCACTGTTCACTACCAAGAAATCTGAACACTTCCATTCTCTAAGATTCCAAGATCTAAAAATGTATGTAGCTGTATCTTTCTCATACGCTTTTTACACTCTTCCCTCTGAGTTAAAACAATAGTTTCATTTTATTTTTGTCATATGCTTACTCACCACTCCATATTTATACTGCAAACATGCTAGAATATTATTTTACTCTTGCCTTCTTGGTTTTTTGTTAAGGAACCACCTTTCCATCTAATTTGTGGTGTCAGCAGCCTTTAAAGTGATATACATGTATTTATTAAAAGAAGTGGAGATTCCACTGAAATATTTCAGAACATACACACTTTAAGGGTAGCAGTGCACTTTTGTCTATTATTCCATTATTATTTGCTTCAGGCATAACCTACAACACTCAGTTAATTCACTCAACTTAATTGAGGTTACTTTCTGGTCAGAGGAAGAAGAATTAAGAGAATGAACTATATACCTTGATTGCTCTTCTCCTGAAGTAACAGTCAGATTTTTAATTACTTTTTAAGAATGCAGTTCTAAAAAGGAAAAATAAAATTAAATTAAATAATAATAATAAAAAAAATGTCTCCAAACTAGCAATTTCATTGCATAGGTTTGTTTTTTTCTAAAATTAAGTAACTCTAACACAACAATAAATTTGCCTCACTTCACCTCAAAGAGGGGCAGTAATCCAGGATCAAGCTTATACACATTCCCCATGTGTAATAGGTCCTTCCATACCCTCAAGCAAGCAGCTGAATATTTTTAAGACTATTATAAAATTGAGTAAAAAAAAACCCCCAAAAACCCAAGCAAACAAACAAACAAAAATGCACCTAAAACCCAACACAAATAATGCTTTAAATAATTATCTGAACAAAAAGATGAATATTTGAACAGAGGTAACTAGCACTAATTTAGGGTTTTGGTAGCACACTTTGACATAAAAAAAAAATTGCACGTTGACTATTTCCTGATTGTGTCAGCAATACACCCCATATAACCATGGCAAAAGACTGGGAGAACTTCATTTTTTGCAATGTGAAGTATTAATAACTAAAGTAAAGCAGATGACTGCTGTTTACTGAAATTTACTGCTACTAAATTTGGAGAATCTATATCATGTGTCCAGCCATCTCTCCAAGGATCATGAACAAACACATTTAGACTAGCTGGAGAACTACTGCATAAGATAAACATGAAATAACAAAGCCAGATAAAAATAAAAACCAGGAAGTAAAACCATTGAGAAATTCAGAAGTACAAAAATACCTGGAAATTTAGAACTGCAGTTAAGGGCTCTCAGCATAAAACTCTATTTTACACCCTTTTTACTTAATCTAAGACTCACAATACTGCTTATACTAACTTGACTTGTGTATTAATTTGTATGAGGTGCACCCCCCCACTGATTGCACTCAGGAAGACAAACCAAAGTGAAGACTGTTACTTAGTTCTGCAATACTGATGCTTCTATTGGAGTGATGAATAGCAAACAGAATGCAGTGGATTTCTGTGAAAGGCAAGAAAGGTAGTTAGTTCTGACTTAAACAAGTACAGTATGTCAATTTTTATAGCTTGCTAGCTAAAAAAAGCATAACTATGGGAAGCTGATATGGCACACAAAAAATTTATCAATGCATAGGGTTTTTTTAGGTATATTATCAGTGTATTTTAGAATCAACCGTAGCTTAAAAATAAAACTGAATAAGACTAATCCCTCCCCACCTCTTTCCCCAGCTTCTAAGAAGTGTTTTGTCAGAAGTTGATGCATTAACTAGATTGCTATATGAAACACTTTACAGGGAACTTGTAAAGTGTAACAAGCTCCAAGTTCTAGCAGAGTTTGTAAAAGCTGCACTTCAGAAAAGCTTTCCAGCTTTGCACTGGTATAGCTTGCACACAACTTCTAAAAATCTGTCTTCTCTGCACCTTTGGCAAGCACACAGGAAGAAAAACTGTGTGAACACTTTCAATCTGTACCAGCATTCTTTCTGCTTGAAAGGACACAAACAAAATTAAGAAAAATGAAGCTATTTTCTAAGTTCTACAAAGTAAGTTTTATATTTCATTGTAGTAGTAATTAAAATGTTCTTTTCTCCCCAATTTTATCACAAAAATTATTAAAACAAAATATAGTGGATCCATCAGAAAGAAAGACAGATCTGTCTTAAATATAATCCTCAGTTTCTGTATGAGTATTAAAACAAATTTCTAACACATTTTCAGATTAAAAAAAATTATTAAAAGGATAAATATTTTCAAGTTCTCCAATAAACGTAGACTTAGATTATTACACTACTACATTCAGAAAAGTTTATCCTATTATTACAGCTAAAGCTTCCCAAAACCTGAAGTATATAGAATCATTAGCAATAAAAGAAAATGTAACAATCTCTCTCCAAACAACAATAACTCTACAATGCAAACCAGCTATATAATGTAAAGTTACTAAGACAGGGAAACAGATTCTCCTTTTAAACATATTAACTTTTTTTAAAAAAACTTTAAAATATATATTCTATTGGTTCTCTATTACATTCACTAATTTCTGCTTTCTTACAAAAAAAAATAATTAGTTTTATGAAGTTCTCAGAAGACTTGCTCATGTAACAGTCACAGGCCTCGTGTAAAATTTTGTCCTCCTCTAAGTTGGCACAGTCTTTTTTGAAAGAAGACCATGCAAGTATTGCTATTTAAATCCTAACTCTACAATGTACAGCAAAGCATTTCTTGTCCTCAACAGAATACTCAAGTCACTTTTGCAGAAATCCTGGTGGGTCTGAGCAAAGGATCAATTTCCAAAGTACTTCTAGGAAAGTGAAAAATATGTTGGTCAGTATTAGCCAGACTGCCTTCCTAGTTGCTGTCTTACCTCTAATTGGTAAATAATTACAAATCATAGGCCAGTAACAGAGCAACGTATTTTTTTTAATGGCCTTATATATAAATAATAACTATTTACACTATGCCAAACCACAAATCCTAAATTGAGATTTTGTTACATCTCAGTATTGTATGGGACTATAATGCCTAAAGATAAAAACCAGGCTCATAGCTCAGAACGAAACCCCACTTGTAAAGGGCTAAATTTGCTGCTTGTCTGCTTTCAAAGATTTAAGGTCAGAGTGACAATGCTATAAAATAAGGGTCAAAGCACAAAAAGACCAAGGCCACAGAACAAAGAGCTTTTCGTGTCCTGAAAGAAGTTGCTTTTTGTAAGCCTGCCTTCTGGCTCAGGCAGTAAATTTGTCTTTTTCTTAACATCATCACTACATGACTTCTATAAAATGCCAGACAACAGCATGACTTATGAAAGGTGAAACTGACCTGTTTGAAGACATCAACCCAGCTTAAGGGAATCCACTAGTTAACAGCAGAAGAACACCTCCTAGTAACTGCTACTTTTCTAGTTGTAAGCAATATTTCTGCAACTTCATTATTTAATTAGTCACTTCAGCAGAAGTTTCAGATGTCCATAGTACCTTTGGGGTGCAGATTCCTGGTCTGTATTATCTTATTCAGTGGTAGCTGGAGCAGTAATCTTTCCCCCACCTCTCTGTGAAATATTACTAGAATACTACTAATCTTAATAGATATAATCTAACACACAGATCTGCGCACTCCCTTTCAAAAACATTTCTTGTTTGGTTCCCCACTTTCCATCAATGATACCCCCACTACTCAAAGAACTGAGCTAAAACAAAATAAAATGGTGCTTTCTAAGGCTGATGCAGATCGATAAGCAGTGAATTTCATTTTTCCAGCTAGAAAACAAACTTCACTTAGAACATGATTTACAAAAACAATAACAACAGTTTTGACAAACAAAAGGAACTTTATCCAACAGAAAAAAAAAAGAAAAAAAAGATAAGGATGCTGTGTGCCTCTTATGGCTTTATATTAAGTTAGATTTTCAATACTTCATTAACTATGAAGTAAAACCATACTGAATTAACTAGATGTTAATATATTAAGAAAAAATATTTATAATCCAATACGTAAAGTACACAAGTAATTCAAAAAAACCCAAAATTTTATACTCAGACTAATAAATACCCAAGAATATAAAAGATGTTAAATCTCTGAAAACTAGCATCTGAATTTTTTAAAATAAAAAGTTATGACAAAAGTTATAAAAATGCAGTATGCTCTTTGAGCAATATCAGTACTGCAAGAAGTGTCACTCCACTGTAATCCAAACCTATATGAAACAATCAGAATTCTCTGCATTATCTTTTATAAGTCTGAGGCAAGACATTTTGAAAATACAGATCTTTCATACTTGAAGTAAATATTTTCCCCTTCAAAATAGATGGCTTCTGTCTTCAAAGTTACTGTTTTAATTTTTTTCAGTCCTACTAATGTACTTAAAAGCTGAAACTGGAGATTCAGATATGTAGAATTAGGTAAAAAAAATATAAAAAAACCCCTTACCTTTCGACTCTGGAGATCTATAACAGCTGAGTTTCAGTGCCAACAAAAGAGAGGTTTCACAAAACAAATGGCTTTGCTTTGGATCTACATTAAGCTATAATAACTGGTTCCTATATTAATTCTTAAATGTGGCATTTAATAAAACTATATGAATTTTTTTCAGTCTAAAAATATATTATTTTTTTTCTATAAATATATATTCTTTAAATATAATTGAAAAATACCTTGATATAGGAAAAGCCTAGTGTAACATATGAAAGGCCTACTCCAATCATCCTACACATTTTGAAGGAAACGATTACTCCTCATCTCTCAAGAAGCACTGGTGCGAGTATACTGATTCTTCTTGTGGTGAATAGCAGCCCACAAGTTAAGGAACTGATGCAAACTGGCAGATTTCCCCTTCTAATTCTGAGTCATATGCGTCATCTTTTTGTCAAAAGCTGGGAAGAAAAAGAGTCTCTCTTCCAGCCTGCCACATGAAACCACCTGCTTAAAGACAGAACAGACCAATATTGCAATATTGGTCTGCACTTTGCTGGTACTTACACATTTGTTCTTGCTTTGTTCAAATAAACAAAATTCTGAAGACAGCTTTAATGTTAATGACAGAACTCATCTCTTTGATTTAGAAAAAAAAAAAAAAAAAATAGAAAAAAGAGTCATATTGGCATGAAAGCACTTATTTTAAAATGGTAGTGTCTTACCTGCCAAAGACTAAGGGTTCAGCTCCTTAAAAGCTTACATGCACGCTTGGTTTAATCACCTAGAATCAGATAGATTTTGTAGAAATACATTCCAAAACCAAGAGTTCATGTGTGTGTGTGATTAAGACCTCTGTGTCACTGTACATGGCTGCCAACTAATTCCTCAAACCCACTGCCCCAATTAACACAAAAGATCTCCCCTAAACCCCAAAGAACCTAACAATTTCTGTAGGTTAAATTTCACATGCTCCTTTTTTCCCTGTTGTGCATTTCGCAAATTAAGAACCAAGAAAACTGCTTTCTTGATCAAGGCCATTTGGACTATATATACTGTGTTATGACACAGCATCTCTCAAAGGCACCAGCACAGGTTGACATCATTGCCAGCAGATTACATATTTTCAAATTGCACTAGAGTTACTGATCAGACCTGTAGAAAACAGGTGTAAATGTTTACTGTAACAATGCACTGCAGTATTCATATTCATCTGTGGCACTGCCAGAGTGACTGCAAGTAAATATTCTTTATAAAAAAAACACTTGAAAGCAGCTAAAGCAAATTTTAGACATTAATACTAAGTTGTGCAAAAGAATGCAAAGAAAATACAACTTGACAACCTGATCCAGAGTGTTGAAACAAACTTGCCATTTTAATCATAGATCAGCTTATTTATATACAAGCACACAAAATATATATTATATATAAATATGCACATAAAGTTAGATAGAAAGATGGGTATAAACTCACACACACACACTCTTATATAAAATGCCTTTTGTTTTCAAATTTGTACTGTGCCACAAGCATTTACACGGCTGGGTGCATACATTTCAATATAATGAGAAAATTTGCATTGCTAAAATAAGAGTACTAGAGTGCTTTTCAAGAACCACGACACCATCATTTGCATTACAGGTTATTATTTACAAGTATTTAAGATGTTCTGTAAATCTATAATGAACATTGCAACAGTGAAAACTGTAATTTATTATGTAATGTCCTGTTATATAAATTGTTTAAATTGTGTACAATATACACAGATGACCTCTTCTACTAGGTTAAATATTAAATACAGCATTTTATTGCTCATCTTCAACTATTTTTTTTCCATTCTATATAATATATTTTACTTGATAAGATTACAGACACAAAGTACCTATCTGATGCCTTATCCTGGTTATTGTGTGGTTTGGTTTTTGTGTGTGTATTTTTTTCTAATATGAAATTAATTATTCATACTGTTGTCTTAATTTGACTAACTATGCAGTATTTTTTAAGAAAATATTTTACCATATATTCTATTTTCCTTGGTGCTTAACAAAAGACATTTAAGCTTTTCTGCAATGTTACCTTACCCCCCAAAACCCAGTTATCTTTCTAAGAGTTTGACAGCAAATAAAAACCAAACAAAACCCACCACTGAGAAAGTAATGCCTTTTTGACAATGGCAGGAGTGAACGAGGTGAGAAGACACTGTGGAGGATGTTTCTTAACTTGTAATTCGGTAAAGCATAAGAACTGGCTTAACTTCTTCCTCAGTCAGTGGAGCACTCCAAGACATGAAAAGTGAGTTAAATAAACCATTTAGGAGGGTAATCACACAGAGCAGCTTTTGCCTGGGGGAGACCCTGGGAAAGTCTCCATTGGCTCCCTCTTTTTCATCTCAGGCCCACAGGCACCCATAACTGTTCTGGGGTAGGCTGCTGCTTTGAATTGCCCTCTAGTGTTAGCCTTCATTAATTCCTACCTCAATGACAAATCCTATTCAGGTTTTTAATAACAGAAAGTGGGTCAGCAGCTGAAGTTATATTAAGCTAAAAAAGTTAAACAAAAAAATTTGAACACTGTTTCAAATTTTTTTCAGGTCAGAAGGCTGGGAAGCTGACAATTTAAGTATTACACAAAAAAAATACAAAAAGCCTATACACCTAAATAAAAAAAAAAAATATAAAAAGTTTATGAGAGAACTTATGAACATTGTATTTTACATTTCAGTGAATTTCTCATGCAGTTGCACAAAAATATCAATTTCTGAAGCAAATATTCAATATTCACTGTCAATAGCTAAATTCACTGTCGTTATGGTGGGATCAAAACATTAAAAAAAAACAGAGGAGTTGTTGGTGTCAACAGAGCACAGTTTAGCAGTACCAATACCCTGGAAGAAATTATTCTCTCACTGCTAATTCAAGAGTCTCCTTGTTACACCCTAAACCCAGATGCAAAACAGGCACCATGGAGATCCAGATTTTAAACCTGGTAATACTAGGAAGAGAAGGCAAGCATTTTCCTCTGATTTTATTTCAAACCATGTTTTATCTACTCTCAAATTGTTTAGAGAGGTAATGAATCTGGGACTTAAAGAAGTATGGAGAACATATTAGTAACACTTGCATGTCATACAGCTATGGATTTCCACATACACAGAATTAAAGGTGAACGTATGACCCTTTGTTTAAAAAAATACTCTGGTCATACAGAGCTACAATCCATTACTCTGACTGAGAGCTGAAAAAAAATTTTAGAATTAGGTGTTAACACAGATGAAGAAAAGTAAAGATTTGAGTGCTGCTTTTATAACTCCTGTGCTTGGCATTAAAAGCAGCATTTTCCCTTCTCCTGAGAACCTGGAAAAAATCTTTTGGTTTTAGGGAGCATAGGGACAGGGTAACCCGTACATAATCATTCTTTTTGATCAAGAGTTCTTTTTGCCTGTGGAAAATGCTGACAGTAAGTGTTACAGTATCAAAAAGGAACTCTGTTCCACAATAAATTTTTCAATGTATTTTCATTTAGAGAAGGACTTTCTTATAAGAGACATTGCAATGTTTCACAACAGATGGAACATCTTTGTCTAATTTTTGAGCTTGACTAAAATATGGACTAAGTTGCAACAAGAGAAAGCAAGGTGTTTTCAGAATAAAGTGATAACATTTTTAATACCACAGTATCTACCCATTCTACCAAGAGAAAATATTGCTCCAAAAGAATACAGAAATTATAAAGCAAATGTTTTCATTTATGAGATTCACTGGAAGTCCTGTTAAATCTATAAGTGACTTATATAATGTTATATCTATTTTGAAGTAGGAAATTAAGTTTGGGGAGATCATAATCATATTCATAATTAAAATATTTTATAAATGTCTAAGTTAACTTCCATATGAATACTAAAATCCATTTCCTTCTGTGGGGAGAAAGGGCAATTTAAAAAAAAAAATTTTAAAAAAATTAATTTGTTCTTCATGTCAACTATTGGAAGTGGAAGCATAAAATCATAAAAATCTTTGACCAAAGGCTTAAAAAAAACCCACCAACAAATCAAAACAAACCAAATCATCCACAAAACAAAAAAAACCCATAGGACATTTACAGGAAGTAAAAAAATAGGCTCTTAAAATTTAGTGGGTTAAAGAAAAGGTGTAAATACTTCAGAGGTATTTGCACATTACTAAGATTTTTTAAGTACCTCACAAATTAAAAACAGATATTGCTTATACCTTGCATTGACTAGATTATATTGATAACGTATTTCAATAAAAATAACTAATTCTCTTATACTACTTGTCTAAACATTCAGAATAACAAAAAACCCTTTTCTGAAAAAAAAAAGTCCTGCCCCAAACAAATTCAGAAGAAATTATTACCACAAATACCCTCAGAAGAAATAATTACCATGAATATCCATGTGATTGAAAGAAATTCAAAATTAACAAAGATAAAAATGTTTTATTCAAACACACTACTCTATTAGCAATTGCATCTTCATACATGCCCTGTTTTTAGTGTGCAAACAGCAGTCTAAACCAAGATATATTAACAAGCCATCAATACACTCTATGAACACTGAACAATTTTGGTTGTATTTCTCATTCTCCCACTGAAACCTTTGATGTATGGGTCTACATAAATTCTTCCTCAGACTTCTGTTGAAATTAAAACAAAATAACAGTCATAAATAGGGCAATACCCTATTTATATATATTTGTATATGATTGAGAAGAATAAGTACTTAAATATCCCAGTTAGCATATTTTAATTATTTTTCCTAAAAAATTTGCATGCCATTTGCTTTGCTTTTCCTGTTGCCTAGTAAGACCATTTTATCAAAAGACTAGGAAAAATGATGTGCAAGTATGCCAGTCTTAAATCCTTCCAATATACATGTTTCATTGAATGTCTGAAGTAATAATAAAAATTAATGTCTATTTAAATCTAATAGTATTCAAGACTCCACTTTAAAATAATGTAGGGCTGGATTTAGTTTAAACTAAAACTTAAAATAGCCATACCTAAGATATCAAACAATGGTTGATTTTACATGCATTGTAGTAACTAGGAATGGGCTGCATTTAGTGCTACAGATCTCTTTCAGGAAAATTATTTCAGTTGCCTTTGTAAAGCAAGAGAAGTCCTTAAAGAAATCATAATCAAACATTAAAAGTAATCAGCAACAGTTCCTTTTAGATGAGCAATAAGCATGAATTGTCAGCTTTCAAATTATGATTTAGTTAACAAGACTTGTAGAGCCTCAAGTATTATACCTGCAGTAGGAACAGTAGAAATGGCCATGAAAAGTTCCACATCTGAAGCACTTCAGAAAAAAAGTCTGCACGTTTTTATCTTTTGAACCTCATTGCAATTAGATATTGCAAAACAGTTTACAAAGTCAAGCACACAGCTTGCAATAGCCACACCAGCAATTTTTAAGGGGCAAGTACTGCAGGCCCTTAATACAGGCTGAACTTCCAACAAAATCAATGGTTCTTCTGCTAAATAAGAACTACTACAGGAGAGGCTAAGAGTAGGAAAATAAAACAAATGTACCCCACTAGCTTTCTTGCAAGTTTCACCTATTCTTTGGGTCAAGAAAAATTCATGTTAACTACCAAGTATAAAACAGCTCCAGAAAAGAAAAATTCATATAGAACAAAATTCAGCAAAAACTGTTCTAGAGCAAATCAACACCTTAAGTGGGCTCTAATCATAAAAGACAACTGCAGCACTCTTAAAAGATACTAGAGCTTGTAAATGGGTAAGATTCAATTATTATATTACTGCAAAACTCTTTGCACTTTCTAAAAAAACATTTAGACTTGTCTTAAAGTTCTAAATACTTTAATACATACTAAATTTGTAAAAGGAAAGAAAGTGTACATCTAATGAGAATACCATTCTGCAAATCCTTATTCATGGTCGTGAGTCATTAGAACTACTTGTGTATATTAAAGTTTGTAGGATTAAGCCCTAAATGTAAAATCCCTTTGATTCACAGTTGTGAACCAGAAACCACCTTTTTTGTTGAATGAGAATCTATGAGAAATGCTCTGAACCTGTGTCAGACCAAGGAACACTCCATCAAACTTTCACCTTTTAAATATCTCACAAGGGAGCCTTAGATACCTTTGCCTTGCAATATAATCCTGATTTTCATTAACAAGAATGTAACTGCTTTTGTACAGGAAAAAAAAAAAAGTACAAACTCTAACTGCTCAGTGAAATTCTAAAATCCTTATTTTCCTAAGAAAGCTAGTAGAAAAAAAAGAAAAAAAAAGTGAAAGGGAAAGGAAAAAAAAAAAAAAAAAAAAGAAGCAAGAAACAACAACAATGCAGTACCTCCAAAGCAGTTTCTGAACAGACCGAAATATTAATTTATTTGGGAGCATATTAAGCATGTCACCCAAACACGGTCACAGCATTAATAGAAGTACTTTCACTGTGTGTTTAATCACATAAAGAAAGGATTAAAACTGTAAGAATTATCTACTCACAAACTTCAAAGCTTATACAAAGTTAAGGTTTACTTCCTACACTTTCTGTATTCAGTTTTCTTACTCGACTGATATTTTTCATACAATACTATGATTTTAGGGTAGTTAAGGCCTTCTAGAGAAAATTATATTCAGAACCCATATGCCTCAAATATTTATGTAACAGGAGGTGTATTACTGGTAAATCCCAGTAATTCTTCAGTTCTACCAGCCATTAGTTACAACAGTGAGGAAATATGAAATTTACACCTAACTGGATTTGCTTGGTAGAAATTTGGAGTTACAGGGATAAACTGAAATTTTGGGTTTTTAAAACTTCTCTGATTTTATGGTACAATTACTTCCTACAAAAAATAGTGCTCTTGAAGACAGACAGATTTGATTAAGGATAAAAACTGAATTCCAGCTGAAAGTTGGAATTGCTAAAGTCACAACATGTTCATAAAATTTGTTGTACTGTAATATATTCTGCTGAAGATAAAGCCTTACAGATTTTACTACTCCATTTAGTATTTAAACAAATTCACTCAATCCAAGACCAGTTACTATTTTAATTTCAATTGTCTGTGTAAATGGTTAGTTAAGACTGTTCGTATATGAGTAGATAGGTTATGATTACTCTGAATGGATTTCTCAGTTTCAGCCAAATGAGTACTTTCAGTGCAAAGCAGGACTTGCAATATGAGTGTAGCACAGTCCATATTAATTCCTCTTAATTGTTCAGTGTTTTACTGTATAATATCTGTTTGCCAACTAATAATATAAAAAAATAAAATTTCTGACTATTCTGGTACAGATGGCAGGCTCTGAAGACCTGTTTTTTTTCCTGTTTTCTGCCTCTTTTCTTGTCAGATAGCTAGTTTATTAATGCCTTTAAAACCAAATTTAACACACTATGTGGAAATACACTCAACTAACTCTCTATTCTATTCTTTAACACACCCTCCCAACAAAAAAAAATAAAGTTATTGAAAAATAATTTTTTTATATCATCCATACTTTGTTTTTGGATTAGCAACATTTCAGTTGGAGTAATTCCCAAGAAAGGAATATGAGAACAATACTATATGGAGACTTGCTATAGCTCAAATAGATCAAGGCTGTTGCAAACTCAGCTTTTTATACATATTTTTGGCCACTTCATTTCCTTCTGAGCACAGCCTATGTTAATACTTTTACTTAGTGTTTTATAATTTTACAGGAGGAGTGTAAAGAAGAATTATTTTAACATTTAATAAACTTGTGAACAATCCCATCAGAACTGGCCTATTTTGAATAATCTGAATAAGTTATACTACTGTGTACATTTTCTAAAATAAAGAACATATGTAATAAGAGAAATGTTAATATAATATATACCATGCTCATGCTCCATCAACCTTCCAGAGAGTTTTTCAATCACAGGAGTAAGCCGTTCTCCAAAATCAGCTCTCTATTGAAAGGTCAAAACCTGCAATAAAAATGTCATGTATTATAACATATTTCCAACACCCACAGTTTCATGGTTGATCCCCAAACATAGATGTAGGTCATCAGCTTGACCCTCACATTGTCTATGTTACAGGAAATCCTAATTTTAAAAATACTTTTTTTTAAAAACCAAACTGACTTGATTAGGAACACCTGTGATATGCCTCTTTATTATCAGAAGCCTCCTGAAACAAATCAGATTAGCATGTTTCTGCTTTCATTCTTCCCGCAGCATTTTAAGATGAAAGTAAGAGGAAGAAGGAGGAGGGGAAAAAAATAAAAAAAATAAAAAGAAAAAAGAAATAGGAATAAGAGGTGTTGTTCTCCCCTCCTACCCACTACCAATCCCTCCCTCCACCCTCTAACAAGCAAACAGGTAAGGTTTTTTTAGTAAGTAAACTACTTAATGGATATGTGATTACTACTGTCATATTTCCTAAAATATGCCGTTAAGTATTTAAATTCTAGTGTTGCACTTTAAGGAGTTTGAATTTTTTTTTTTTTTTGCTCTTCAAGGCAGTACCATTTTTACTCTTATTAAAACTCAACCTACAAATATTATCTTTAATTATAATAATGGAAAAAATTACAGTTATATAATACATTCTGAGAGATGAAATAAAATTCTAAGACTTAAAAAAAAAAAAAAAGAGAAAAAAAAATAAAAAAAAATAAATTAGCTGCCCAGATCAGGTAAGAACAAAGTATAACTTTGGCAGATGCAGTAACTATAGCCAAATAGCTATTGGAGGAAAATATTGCATTCAAACAGCCAAAATCTTAAATCTGTTTTGACTTTATTTGAACTTTTTCATTGTAACAAGACACATCCTATGGCTTATAAATGAGTAGTTGATGCCTAGATCAGGTCACCTGCTTACAAATACTTCCATAAATTTTTTCTTTATTCTTTAAGAGTATTCCAGAAAATACTACTACTCTCTCACAGCTATGGACTTATAATAAGCACCCTGCTTTAACAAAAAAAAAGGAGTTTGTATTTTCATTGGTTCCACACACACATCATCTATTTCACCTTTTTTAAAAAAAGGTTTTGTTCTTAAATCAAATCCAGTTAAGTTGTGGTCTCCCTCTGTTCTTATATTGAGATTTAACATACTTGAAGATTATATTGAAACTGGACTTACATAAAGCTATTAAAAATGAAAATACATGCCTAAGCCCTATACGATGTGTAATTATCTTTTTTTCTCAGACCAAATCTTCAAGTGAATTTCAGTTCATGATAAATAAAATAATCAGTTGTAACCAGATTCAATGTTGAAAAGTTTATTAATAATCTATTTACTGCAGATACACTCACTGCAGTGTCTGAAAACAAACTAAATAGTCACGGGGCGGGGGGGTCCTATTTCTAACAGTGGTTTCCTTTAGACATTAATAACGATCACCAAAAGTCACTCCTATCTTTCAGTTTTGAGCAATATAACAATATCGCCTTCAGTTTTAGAAGGTATCTTGGGAAACCTTTAACAAAATAAAAGCTAAATGTACATTATTTACATTTGCTACTGTTGTGTGCATATGGTTATAAATATGTGTGTGTGATGTCATCCTTTTACACTAGCAACTGTTCATTATTGAGCTATGGAAAAGTGTTAAGAATTAGATTAAGTTTAAAAATTTAGTATTCTCTGTAAAAAGAACATTTTTTTGTTTGTTTTTAATGATACACTGAAAATATTATTACATGCAAATATTACAATAGAAAATTGCCCAACTTTAAGTGTTAGCTGGACTAGAGCTCAAGTTGTGCTCCCTCCTCTAACACTCATACAAATCTTCTGAAGTTCTCACACAGCATTCAAAGCTAAGATCAGAACTGTTCCTAAATTGTGGTAATATCAACTGTATCCCAAAGTTTCATTATTAGAATAAGTGTTTTAAAAACTTACAGGAAAGGGTTAAAAAAATTAAAAATCAATACAGACACTGCCTCACATCCTTATGGGCAGATATTTTTATACCTAGCTTACTCTGAATATTTCTGAAATTGTCCAGTATTCACAATGAAGACATTTTCCAATAAAGAGATTCCTTTTGAAATCCAACTTTTATATTAATACACCAGTAACCTAAAAATTCGACATAACTCCTGCCAATAATGCACCAAAAAAAAAAAAAAAATTGCAAAGCAACATTTTCACTTACTAAAAGAGGTGACTGGAAATCTGTGGCTATATCTCTCTATTCTGTCTGATGTCCACTTTCTATTTGAGGGGCATATCAACTTTTTTTCTATCTTTAAAATACATTACTATTTCTATTAAAAAAAATAGATGGCTGTGAGAAGACTCACAGGGGACTAAGTTCAAAACCAATTTGGGCAGGCTGTTAAAACAAAATTTTCCAAATATTACTTATAAGAGAAAACCATTTTTTGAAACCAATGTTAGATATGAAATGTTTAGAACTTATAATAATAAGTGAAAAAAAATCTGCAGAGAACACTTATTGGTGTACATGAAGTTATTTTTAGTTTTAAAAACTTTCTAATAAAAATATTTTTGTTTCTACACAAAAGCCTACAATTTCATTCCCTATTTCTTTCACAGACAGTCAAAACTAGTCCAAGATGCGCTCTACCCTTGACAGTTTGTAATGAATGTGAATTACCCAAATCACTTGCACTGGGCCTTTGGGTGTGGGTGGATGACGGCATCTACAAAGCAGAATACCTGCAGCATATTCGTAGAATACAGTGATAAGTTTCTTGGTTCTTCCTTACATGTTCAGCAGTTAATTGCTCCCCAGAGCAAATAAAGCCCAGTAAGGTCTTATAAAAGGACCGCTAACTGATATGTGGCTACTTTTCCTGTAAAGAAAGCTCCCGTGCTTTTCCATGTGTTAAAGTGTATCAGAAAAGCAGGGATACACCTGTTAGGATAGCTTCTGACACTCAGGATGGGTGAGATGTGCAACTTCACACTGTGTTCACAGGCAGGGTATACAGAGCCAGGTAGTTTGTATGCAGTTCCAGTACTTGCACTTCACTGCAGAATCTGACTTACTAGCCATAAAAATAATTAAGGCATTAAAGATTCCAATTTATTTTTCCTTCCATGACATTGCATTTTGGATGGAATAGTAATAAGTCCAGAATTCCAGACGTTAAGGGTAAAAAAACCCCAAACAACAAACTAAACAGAAAAAGAACCCCATGATACCTTGATATCGTATATGTAGTCTGCCCTTAAAATGTTACTACAATAAGCTTCCTAGGAAGTACTAGCCTAACACATTATAAAGTCACACAGATACACAGTCACCACTTTCAAATTCCTGTAATTTCTGAAAATTAAAAATTCTCAAAAGTTACTTCAACCACATATACACACACACACACACACAGTATATATTTATAAAATGAGAAGGTACCACTTGGAAACTTACAGTATGACTTTAGAGGAGGCAAAGAAAAAAAAAAAAAAAATCAAGCTCCAACCAAATGAAGCTTATTTGGATGTTTTTCCTAAGAATTAAGATAAAGGATTAGACTCAAAAGAAACAAAGGAAAAAAAAATTAAAAAACATTTTTTTAAAAAAATACACTATGCTACGTGCTATACCTGAGCAAGGTTTAATTGAGCACAGAACTTTAGCTTTCACTTATTGGTAAAATACATACATTTAGATATTTAAGTTCAATTGATATTTCCTCCAAATGTAACTTTTCAAGGGCCAAGTAATCCCAGTTAATGTTTTACATTTTAACTGAGGTAAAAAATGCAAGCAGCTCTACAAGGGTCTATTTAGGCTACATGGTTTTTCCCCCTAAATATCTCAAAATAAGGAGTACATCAAATATAAGAAAGGAAAAGTTACTTAAAATACACTATATATTCATATTGGATTGCTTACTGCTTTCATTTTAGCCACACCCACCTTTATGTAATTGTAAAATATGAGAACAGTGTAGCTGAGAAATAAGAAAGCTTTAAAGAACAGTTGTTTCATGTAGTCAAATATGTGCTAAGCACAGATTTTAATTAAAATGAAAAATAGGTATAAATTGCATGCTACTGAACATGACTATCGAATAGCAGGGAAAAACACACACACACCTGTACAATACTGAATTATAGGGTTTTTTTGTAAATTAGCTATGAGTCAGGACAGTTATTTCATTGAAAGTGAAAGTCAGTATTTGTGAGTGCACTTCCACAGCGGAGTAGTGTAAATCTCTTCAAATCCTGATATTCCAAAGTATACACAGCTACAGCTGAAACAGCTTTGTGCACATTCCCATACTGTTACAAACGTTTCTGAAAACACTCTGAAAGTAATGATGCAGAGCTAAAGAAATGAGTGCTAAATCTCAACAGGATCTTACTAGTATCTGAATTTCAAGGATTAAGCGGAATTTTCTATCAGGGCACAAAGGTATGATTTTCAGAGACAAACTAAGCAGCTATTCCCAGGAAAAAAATAACTGAAAAAGTGTAATATACGAACTGGATTAAAGGAATCCAGGGAAACTAGGGATTCGAGACAGAAAAAACTCCTTGAGCTGTTGGATTTCTGCATTACACAGAAAATACCTTGAATCACAATCCAGTTGCCATGCTGGAAACGCTAAGTTTTGCATTTCACTTTAAGACTACACGCTCTCAGCCATGTACACAGAAATCTTTTGTACAGCACTTCTGCACCCCAACTCTTCTCTACGTCCCTCCTACGTCCCTCGGTTAACTCGTTATTTTCGGTGGCCGGGGCGCTAGGCGCAAGGCGGCCGCTTCTGGCTTTGAACGCCGCGGAGGGATGCGCGGGGGGGCAGCGGGAGGACCGGGGGGAGGAAGAGGAGCGGGGAAAGGCTGTGACCCGGTCCAACCTCCCAGCCCCGGCCCCGCGTCCCCGCAGGCAACCAGGGGGGGCAGCAGCCGGTCCAGCCTCCGCTGAACGGGCGCCTTAACGGGGGGCCCGATGCTGCATTCGCTGCGCATCCTGCGCGCCCGCCAG